CCCTCTCCCATGTCCCCCCGGAACTGTCAGTCCCGTTGTTTTCTCCTCCAGATTGTTCATCCAGCCTGTCCTATCCAGACAGGCCTGCCAAACTTGCCCATTTTTATGATGTTGTTTACAAACAAATTACATATGTAAGATAGATTTGGGCTAAAATGCATACAATAGTAACTGTATCTACATCAATCTATCTTCAATTTCCTAGGATTAAGCATTTAAATCATAAGCGATTTGCAGATCCAAAAATGGGAGGTATAGTTTCTGGGCAGAAATAACCAATAAGATTTCATGACTGCCTTCAGATATTTTAAGTTTTACTTAGTAAATGATAACTTTAATATGCAGACCAATAAGCCTAAATATTTGATATCCAGTTGACCTTGTAAAACACGAGGGTTGGTTGGGTGCCCCAAGCCAGCATAGTCTAAAACCCACGTATAAGCTACAGCCTGTCCTTGACCTTGAGCAGCACAAGTTTGGACTGTGCAGACATGTGATGCTCATCATCACCATGTGAACAGTGACTCTCCAGGAACTGCTAGCCCCTCCCCTTTCCCTCCCCCCAGCAGGAGAGACCAACTGCTCTTAAGGGGATGATGATCACTGTCTTGCCAAGTTGTAAGCGGATACTTGGTGACACTTGATTTCACTTCACGAGCTCCAGGGGGAAAAGCATGTGTAATTGTGCTCACATATTTCACACCCAGTTAACTATCAGCTATCATTTGTTTCTAAATAGACCTGCTCTTCATATTCACTAACAGGTAACTCATCCATTCGTGTGTTTGCACTTACTACATAGTGAATACATGAAGGCATATGCGATAATGTAGATTGGACTATATTTGAGTTTGCCTTTGGTTTTTATCTATAATATACTTGATACTTTTCCTCAATGTAATCTTCTGACACCCTCATTTTCTTTACTTTATTCTGCCTGGCTGTAGGGATAAAAAAGAAGTGGTCTAAAACCACCAAAAGATGATTGATCACTTATACATTCATTCATTCATCCCATATTTAATGGGCACTTGCTAGGTGCTGAGACTATGAAGGTAAATAAAGTCTTTACCCTCAGAGTGCACCACGCAGGAGAGAGTTAGGTGCACATACGCCAGCTCCAAGGAGGGGTGCCTAACCCAGAAGGGCTAGGAAAGGCTTCTGGGAAGAAGTCCACCACGTCCTCAGGAGCCAGAGGAGAATCACTTTCAGCAAGGGAATTCATGAGCAAAAACAAGTATTAATGTGAGGTGTGTAAGAATTACAAAGGGTTCAGCACTGTTGGATCCAAATCAAGTTCTGGGCAGGAAGAGATATGAGTGAGGGTGGGGGGGTGGGGGGACGCGGTACAAGGTAACTCAGAGGAGAAATACTTTGTCAAGAAATTTTCAGTCAGATTTGCCTAATTAAAGGATAATTGCTAAATATATATATGTATATTTTAAAGATAAGATGAACACTAAATCTCTGCCCCCAAATGAGGCATGTGGCGAAGGAAGGGCCAACCCTGTGGAGAGCTTCATGGGTCATCCCTTGGATTTCATAGCGGTGAAGGGCCATAGACGTGGGTCAGCATAGAAGTATCCTGCTCAGACAGCTTTGGGGCTCTAAGTGGCGGTGTGAAGGGTAGAGTTGAGGCATTCCAGGCTGTAGACAAGAAGGATTCAACATAAAAGGGCTTCAAAAGGTTCATGATAAATAGAATCAAAAGATAGTGCCGTTTTCCCACTAATTTCCGAAGCCCTCTCATAGTCTTCATAGGAGCTGAGAAATACAGTACTTTCCTTTATTCCTTTACCCGGAGGCACGAGAGCCATGGATTCTCCCCGGTCAGCCACCACCTGGCCCAGGGTTCCCAGAGAATCCAGAGTCAAAGGACTCTATCCTGCTCTTTCCCAGTTATCAAAGTGTTCTATACATTTACTCTGAGTTAGTGGCTGTTTATAACTCTAAGGGTCTTTTGACTTAATCGTTACATAAGAATATAGTGAATAATTTTATAATATTATTAATTTCACCCATTTTTTTCTTTAAGTTGGACGCAAAGTCTCATTCTTTCAACCAGATGATGAAGTAGTAGGTAAGTTGTCAGTGCTGTGTTACAAATCATCTATTTTTACTACCTTTTCTCTGTATAGTTATTAGTGTTCATTGGGACATTTTACCATATAAAAGTACTTTCCTAGTTTGTGAAATTTGCTCTCAGGGACTCATTGGAAGTTTAGTAGCAGCAGACTATTTAGAACGTCAATATTTGGCTGTGGAATGGTGTCACCGATGGAAAGATAACCGCAGTTGGCTCCTCTGGCCAGTTCCAAGGCTCTGAAGAGAAGGGATGCACAGTCACGTCCTGGAAGACAGGGGCGGAGTTAGCTAGTTGTAGAGACGCTCCATGCTCCACATCCCACTTGAATCCTACAGAGCACCATCCTTTCTACTCTTGAGAACAAAAATGTGCTTGAAGCGTTGGTTGGTTTTAAAATTAGTACTATTTTTCAAAATACATAGATTTATACTGCTGGCCAAGGAGGCCATATATACAATGTATGACTATAGTAGTATTCTTTGAAATTACCACTTCTCCACAGAAGATATTCATAGAAAAATAATCATTCGTGTAAACTTTAACATGTTTATCCTTATGGCTTGTTTGAAACTGGTGAGAATATATTTATAGGAAGGTTTTACAGTACTGCCTTTGATGGGTATATTTCTGAAGAATTAGTGATTGCTAGCTTTCGTGTCTTTGTTACTGCCTAAGAAATCAATGGTATACTGTTTTTCACACTTGTATAAGATACCAAAAATAAAATCTGACTAGATTGAGGAAAACCAGGATTCTGTTGGATACAAACTGAGCTACCTTGTGAAGCTACCTTGTGAGAAGGTTGCTGTGCATCAAGGACAGTTAGAACCAGAAACCAGGTACCCTCAAGACAGAGTTCTGCACCTGAGCCATTGTCCTTCCCGTGGCTCGGAGGCGACAGAAGAGGGAGAATGAATAAACAAGACAGCACTACAGATGCTAGCGTTCTCTTCCTTCTCCATATGAGTAACTGTACGATCCTTCTTCAGAATACCACTAAAGAAAACTTACATCTCATTAGAAATCAATTCATATTTGGGATAATTCTCTTACCTGTCTCCTTTTCAGGAATTTTACCCCTGGATTCTGAAGACCCCGGGCTTTGCGAAGTCGTTCGAGTCCACGAGCATTACTTGGGTAGGTGGCACTTGGGTCTTCGAGAGGTCACTCTGATTTCTTTGCATCTGCCCTGGGTGTGCATGACAGATGACTGGTGGCTGCTCAGGTGAATACTCCCCAGGCTATCATTCGTATCCTATATAAAGGTCATCTTCAGACTCAGTCTTCAGTCTCCTGTACACTACCCAGGATCCGAGCTTTGCAAAGTGGGAGGGGTGTTGAACAAAGTCAAAGGAATAACTCCAGTAGCAGAAGTAAGAGTCGTCACACGATAGGTTTCGTCGCAGATTAAGAGAACAGGAAGGGAAAGTAAGACTTCAGAGCACAGGCTGGGTGGAAGCGTTAGGGAGAGGAGGCACATCCAGAATCTAATGGGGCCAAAGGAGCCTTGTGATGCCGTGGTTAAGTGTCAATGAAAGGCCGGCGGTTCAAACCCACCCAGAAAATCCACTGAAGGCAGACCTGGCAATCTGCGCCCATAAAGAGGACAGCCAAAGAAACCACACAGAGAAGGGCTTTGTCCCTTGCGTCGCAGTGTGCCAAAGCCGATGCTACAGCACCTCACAGCAGCCTACTGCCAAGTGACAGAGGGGCAAACCACCGCCAGACAAGCAACAGCGTGGAAACAACTGTGGACCCGATCAGTTCCCCCATTCTTCCCTCCTCTCCCCACCTTCCCCCTGCCCTCCTGGTATTGTTACTCCCATTTCTGTTCCTGAGTGGTTTATCTGACCTGGATTGCGTGTGTCGTGAGCTCTTGCCTATGCTCTGGTCTAGCCAGAACTGAACGGCAGGGTTGGGGTCATGATAGTAGGGGGTGAGGAAGCCTCAAAGAACCAGAGGACTATTGTATACACCTCATTTTAAAAGCAATTTGACCATGACAAAAAAAAGCCCTAAAATTGTGGTAATGATTGTACAATTCTTCTTGATCTGATAGAACTATTGAAGTGTCTGATATGTAGATTAGGTGCCAATAAAACAGTGAAATCAATCGATCAAATTTTTTAAAAAGAAAAGAATTTAGAGTTACCTAATAGAGATACAGAAAACCCAGCCCGAGTAAGTCTCCCCGTAGTTATAGATCCTGGAGAAGCTTGATGCGCACCAAGGAGACATGCACTAAAGGTCCTAGCAGCGTTTGTAACAGTGGGGAGAAAACTGGGAATGTGCACCACCAGGAGAATGGGCAGCTAAATCATGAGGTAGTCATAGAGTGGAAGGGAGGTGAATGAGAACCAGACACATCAAGATGCCTAAGTGTCACAAACACGACGGAGAGAAGCAAGTTGCAGAAGAGTACAGTGTGATACAACTTACTCATACAGAATTCAGAAAGCAGACAAAATTAAATGCAGCCCCTTTAAGAATACAAAGAAAAGGGGGGAGTAATGAAGTCAGCGGGATAAATGCATGCTCTTTAAGGAGAAGAAGAAAACGTGGGTGATGAGGTTATTTTTGTGGGAAGGCAGGTGGGTGTGAGCATCGGGTGGAGATGCTTAGAGGCTGCTGGTACTGTCTGCTAACCATCTCTTTCGTAGGCTGAGATGCATTATCTTCTCCGAAATATATACTTTTGTCTTCTCTGACTATTTGATTAGACACTTTTCCCTGGTTTGTTTTTGGTGTAAATGATGTAATTATCCTTAATCAGGCATTGGGGGAACCCAAGCAGATTGGGAATTTGGACTGTGAAGAACAGTAAACTTACTCATGTGAGTCCATACGATAACTAAGCAGCAAATCTTTGGCATATCATTTCTAAATTTTCTGTATCTGGAATATCTAAGTAACACTGTTAAGTTTTCAAGAAGCAGTTTCCCAGATATCTGAGATCAGTGCTTATTCACATGTATCTCAATCCTCGGTGTGGAGTCAGTCTTTCTTTGAAAGAAAGCTCATGAGACAGTGAAGTCTCAGCGTTGTAACTGATGATGCAATTTGAGAGTTAAGGATCCTCGTGGCTTTCTAGGCCCCCCAGTGGCATAGTGGGTTACACGTTGGGTTGCTAATTGTAAGGTCAGCAGTTCAAAACCACGAGCTGCTCCGAGGGAGAATTTTTTTTTTAATCTGTAAGCATTGCTGAATATTGAAGAATTGCAAAATAAACTACGGAAAAGCAAAGTAGATTATTAACATCTAACTAGAGTGTGAGCTCAGGCCAACTATGGAAATGACCTTTTATTCTGCAAATCTGAATGTGTTAGTCTGGGTAGACTAGAGAAACAAATCCAGAGACACTCAAGTGCTTTATATCAAAGAGCAATTGTATACAAAGAAAACATCCCAGCCCAGTCCAGATCAAATCCCAAAGTCTGATATTAGCCCATATGTCCAATACCAGTTTGTAAATTTCTCTTCAGACTCACGCAGCACATACAATGACGCCAAGAGCAGGAAGATCACAGGCTAGTGGGTGGAAAGTCTTGTGGATCCAATGGCAGTGGAAGCATCTCAGTGCTGGTGTGGGTCTCCACGTGGCTCTTTCAGCTCCAAGGCTCTGGCTGCCATCAGCATAGCTCTATATGGCCTGTCAACAGAAATGCCAAGCAGAATCTCATGCCTCTAGGGGGAATACAGGAGTTCCCAGAATCCTCAGGGGAAGGCCATGCCCACACAGAGGCCTTATTGGCTGTGAGCTGATTGACAGGAGATTATGTAACTGCCACACTGAAGAATGGGAGTAAAAAACACTACTTAAACATGTATGAGAAAACAATACTATAAAAGACCTGGCAAGAATTTATAGGACAGCCTCTAACAGTATGACCTTTTCACAAGGTCCTGGGCATGGTTGGTTTATTTAGAAATGAGGACACGGAACTCAATGACCACTAAGCCCTGCTGCAGTTCCACCATTGTGTGAAAGGGGTAATTTCCTTATGTGCCCAGAAAACTTGCAGGTGGGAAACGTCAGTGAGGAACCAGCTCCTAACACAATCACAATGGGTTCGGTAGGCGCAATTGTACAGCGATAATAAGTAAATATTATAGTAAAGTTATAGAGAGCATGAGAGATAAAAGAGATATAAAGAAATAAATGGAGTCAGACACACTTCATGGCAGCATGCTCCCCTCAGCCCAGCTTGGTAATTGGCGTGGAGGGAGAGAGGGGGAAGGAGGACGGAAAGGGAACAAGGGGGAGAGGACAGGAGAGGAGAGGGGGAGAGACTGAGTGACCAGGGAGAGGGAGGGACTTTAATGCTTCCCAAGCTTTTATCCTCTCTGGGGATGTGCAAGCCCCCTAATTACAGGTGAGGACATAATCACAGGAAAGGCCCAACTGATAGAGACCATTATCAGTAGGATGTGAACTCCACCTACAGGAGCCTGTCCATTGTCGCCAGCAGCAGGGAGCAGGCCCACTTCTATGATATGGGGAGACAGGGGTCTGGCAGCAGGGAGGATGATTGTGAGTTGACCTCCGCCCACAAGTGCACACAACCACCTTTTCATGAAATGTGTTGCTTCCTATTAATCTTTCCCCGATTACTTCATGAAAATCCAAAACAAAACAAAATCTTAGTTGATTCTGATGCACAGCAAACCAGAACAGCTGAGCTGCTTAAAAACCTAACCCACCCCACCACTAGGGTTTCCAGAGTCCCAGGAACCACCCCTACAAATGTCATCTTCATTCTGTTGCAGAGATTGAAGATAGGATGAAAAGGTCGACTGGTGCTTATGATTCTTGTTCTTTTGGCTCTGAAGCCATTTTGTCAAGCAAAGAGATAATAATATTTTTCTTTCAAAATTTGGAACACATTTTCAGCACTTTTGTCTTTTGCTCCTTTGGGCCCAAGGTGCAAAGAATTGAAATCATCATAATTCTTGAGTCCTGATACACTCATGATTAGTATAGACATGGCCTTCATTTATGTATTTGATTATTTTTCATAGTAAGCACTGGTGGACCACAGCACACAAAAGCAAGAATCTTGATATCAGTCCACGTATTACCATGCAATTGTAAAGCCCTGGCAAATTGCAATCTGAGTTAGTTAGTTTATTATGCCAACCTGGCCAATAAACACATGTGGGATTAATTGAAGGGCGGAGGGATAAATGGCCCAGTGACCCTCGCCTTTCTAGTTCTCGGGTCTCTTGCTTTGTGATGGTCGCACCAGAGTGCAGCTGCCTTAGCCTTTCCCTGCTTCAGCTGGCAAGGCTGACTTCCTGAAAGACACCCCCAAGGAGAAGCCACATGGACCTATCCCGATGCAGCCCTGGGTGCTGGCGCAGCCGTGTGGAGAGCCCTGCCAGTGCTGAAATGCTTACACATTCACTGACTCAGCTTTCCTCCTGCAGTCGATATCATTGCCTCTGCTTTGTGAGATGGAGGAGGACTTTGTGGATTGGTGTTGGACATATGTTAATGGGTTAATATTGGACTTGTGGGCTTGAGCAGCACTGGGTTGGGATGTTTTCTTGATGCACAGTTAACCTTTATATAAAACTCTCTCTTATACATGAGTTTCTGTAGATTTGTTTCTTTAAAGTACCCAGACTAACACACAATCTTAAGTATAGTATTGTAACTGTTATCAAAATTTTTCAGGGCTGCATATTTGGTTTGCTAATGAAAATATAGGTCTTCCCTTATAAATTATCAAGGGTTCATGATGGAGGGGGGCGCGGGGACGGAGGGGAAAAAATGACTTGATGCCAGGGCCTTAAGTGGAGAGCAAATGTTTTGAGAATGATGAGGGCAATGAATGTACAAATGTGCTTTACACAATTGATGTATGTATGGATTGTGATAAGAGTTGTATGAGCCCCTAATAAAATGATTAATAAAAACAACACAAAAAATATATAGGTCTTCCCAATTCTCATGATGGAAAATGTTTGTGTTCGTCTGGGTAGACTAGAGAAACAAATTCATAGACCATCATGTGTATATGAAAGAACTTTATGTCAGCAATTGTACATTAAGAAAACATCCCAACTCAGTCCAGATCAAGTCCATAAGTCTGATATTAGCCCATATGTCCGATACCAGTCTGTAAATTCCTCTTGAGACTCATGCAACACATGCAATGACGCCGAGTGCAGAAGAACACAGGCCAGTGGAAGCATTGTAGCGCTGCCCTGGGTCTCCACATGGCTCCTCCAGCTCCAAAGCTCTGGCTGCCATCAGCATAGCTCCATGTGGCTTGTCCACAGGAATGTCTCCAGTGTCTCATCTCCAGCAAGTTATTTATTTCCTTAGCTTCTCCAAGTGAGGTCATCAAGCTGTGACCTGATTGACAGGCTCAACCCCACCCCTTCACTCAGTCTCAAATTGGGACCAGATTATGTAACTACCACAATGTTCTATAAAAGGCTATGTAAGGGGGAGTTTAGAGTGGGGAGAGAAGATATGGGGGTGTGGGGAGGAGGGACATAAAAAATAGAAAATGTTACATAACTACATTGTACATAAATGTAATATGCATTATTAGATTGGATGGGCTTTCAACTTACTAATTATCTGGCCTTAAGCAAATTAATCATCCTCAGCCCCATTTTATAATCAGTAATGTTGAGAAAGTGCCTTGCTTGTGTGCTTCAATGCTCAACTTTCCCACTAGATGGCACTAGTTTACTGATAAATGCAATGCAGACAACCCTGCGTGACTGGCCCCTCCACATCTATTGCTGATAGAGGAAAAATACTATTAAAAGCTGGTAAACACGGATGAAATATACAACTTTCCTCTAGTTCTTTAATGCTTCCATCCCCCCACTATCATCATCCCAATTCTACCGACAAATCCGGCTAGTCCAGAGAATGTACACTGGTTCAGATTAGAGCTCGCGCAACACAGGGAATCCAGAACAGATAAAGCTCCTCAGGCCCAGTAATGAGAGTAGCGATACCAGGAGGGAAAGGAGAAGGTGGCAGGAGATAGGGGGAACCAAACATGATCTACATATAACCCCCTCCGAGGGTGACAGACAACAGAAAAGTGGAGACATCAGACAGTGTAAGATAAGAAAAAATAATTTATAAATTATCAAAGGGGAGAGAGGTGGGAAATGAGGAGCTAATACCAAGTAGAAAGAAAATGTTTTGAGAATGATGGCGACAAATGGATGGATGTACGGATTGTGATACGAGTTGTACGAGTCCCCAATAATATGATTTTTTTAAAAGCTGGTAAAGACTATGAAAAGTGTCATAAAGCTGATTTTAGACAGTACGAGAAAAGATTGCTAATACTGAGAAAAATTACACTCAGTGTACTGTTGTAGCCTACTGTCCATTCCCAGAAAGAAAACAACCCAGACCGCCGACAAGTTCAAAAGAAAACGTTTTATTACCTGCGCAGGGACTGTTAGCCCTCTTGAGAGGAGACTGAGCAGTGGCCTAATTTTCCAAAGGTTTTTATGCTTTTGCAATGTGCAGATACCCAAGCAAGCAGAGTGCAGAAGGAGGATATTGCGGCTAGCCGTTCTTAGTTGAACAATAACTGCTCTTAGTTCTTCCAAGCCTCTGTAACATACATTTCCTTCGGTACAGTCTGTTGCGCTTGTCAGCACAGCCTGCCTCCCTAATATCAGCTAGTTTATTTATAGTTCATAATGACTTCTGTCAGCTCAAAACGGCTTCACTCTTGTCAAGGTACTGTTTAAACTTTCCCCAGAGCTACTACAGTACAAAACAAGCGGTATTTCAGCATGTTACCTTAGTGCATTCCAGTTGGTTCTGACTCATTGTGGCCGAGGAACCGTTTAATGGGCAGATCACCTGAGACGTTCTAAACTACATTAGCAAGTTTGCATTCCGTTCCAAGTGCAGTGGAAAGGTATTGATGAATTTTGAGTAGACAGGTTGTGCCTCTGTAGTTTGTGTTTATAAGAAGATCCTTCTGACATATCTTCAAAGAGGTACCGTAAGAGAGATGGGAAAGAATAGCAAACACATTGGAAACTATCTCCAACACCTAACTCAAAGACTTCTAGAATATATAAAGAACTCTTATTAGTCTAGAAGACAAAGACAACAGAAAAGTAGATAAAAGATTCGAACAAAAGGAGTTCCAAATAACTGAGAAACAAGAAAGATGCTCATCAGACTGGATAGTCTGTCCCACCCTAAGTAGGGTGCACTCCCTTCTGATAAGGGTAGTAGATATTTCCCTGAAGGAGGAGAGCCCAGGAAGGTCAAGCCCACTCAAGGACGACCAAGAATAGGCTGCCATATTGAGTCTGGGGTCTGCCCATCTTGTCACATGCATACCCCCAATCCCTCCCCTTCCTATTGAGTGTATACCCTTAGATTTTCCCCTCATTACTCTACTACCTATAGTATAACCCCTTCCTGTGACATATGTCTTTACCTGTAATCAGGGGTTACAGGTTAGAAATAAATCGCTCGCTCTCCTGAGATCCTCTTCCTGCAACCCCATGTGGTCCACCAAGAAGAGCTGAGGTGAGCATGCTATCGTGAAAAAAAAAAAAAAGAATGCTCATTGCTAGGAAACTGCGAATTAAAATCGTAGTAAGAAACCATGACACACCCATGTGACTGATTAAAAGTTATATGTCTAACAATACCAAGTTGGCAAAGATGTTCATAGGAACTAGGACTTTGACCAACTGTTGTGGGAGAGTAAATTGGTATAATAACTTGGAGAATCTAGTAAAATTAAAAGCAATATACTCTGAGAATTGGGATCTTACTCCTAGGTAAATATCATAGAGAAAACCATGCAATGGGGTAACAATACCTATTATTAAAAAAATACACTAGGCCATCTAGCTCAAAAGCAACAAAGCCTTCACTGAAGAAGCACACCAGCCTGCGTGCTCATGAGGTGCCAAAGGGATCAGTTATCTGGCATCAAAGAGCAAATAATCATATCATTGTGTGCTCACCTCCCTGATACGATCATCGCTCAAGACAAATGGGTGCTTAAGCAAATGTGGAGAAGAAAGCTGATGATGCCCTGCTATCAAAAGATACAGCATCTGGGGCCTTAAAGGCTTGAATGTAAACAAGCAGCCATCTAGCTCAGAAGCAACAAAGCCCACATGGAAGAAGCACACCAGCCTGTGTGATCACGAGGCATCAAAGGGATCAGGCATCATCAGAACAAAAAATCGTATCATAGTGAATGTGAGGGGGAGTGTGCGGTGGAGACCCAAAGCCCATCTGTAGGCAACTGGACATCACCTTATAGAAGGGTCATGGGGAGAAAATAAGCAGTCAGGGTGCAGTGTAGCAACGATGAAAAATACAATTTTCCTCTAGTTCCTAAATGCTTCCTCCTCCCCTACTATCATGATCCCACTTCTGCCTTACAAATCTGGCTAGACCAGAAGATTTAAACTGGTACAGATAGGAACTGGAAACACAGGGAATCCAGGGCGGATGATTCCTTCAGGACCAGTGGTGTGAGTGGCGATACTGGGAGGGTAGAAGGAGGGTGGGGTGGAAAGGGGGAACCGATTACAAGGATCTACATGTGACCTCCTGCCTGGGGGACGGCCAACAGAAAAGTGGGTGAAGAGAGATGTTGGACAATGCAAGATATGACAAAATAATTTATAAATTATCAAGTGTTCATGAGTGAGGGGGGAGCGGTGAGGGAGGGGAAAAAATGAGGAGCTGATGCGTAGGGCTTAAGTGGAGAGCAGATGTTTTGAGAATGATGAGGGCAATGAACGTACAAATGTGCTTTACACAATTGATGTATGTATGGATTATGATAAGAGTTGTATGAACCCCTAATAAAGTGATTTTAAAAATGCATATGACCTCAAAAAATACACTAAACTACATTGTTATAACTGTCAAAAACAAAACAATACAAATGTTCCTCAACTGGAGAATGAATAACCAAACAAAGATGTTTTTCACATAAGGGAATGCTATAAAACAACAAAAATAAGAGCCTCACAATGTTCTATAAAAACAGTTTGATTTCATTCATATAAAGTTCAAAAACAGGCAAAACAAAATTGTTAGAGTGCATGCTTGAGTAGTAACTGTAAGGACGAGCACAAACCTAAATGAGAACGGAGGTGACCTCTGACGAAGAGAGGAGGCTGCTGGACGAGGGCGGTGTTCTCTCTCTGCCGGGATGGAGGCTCCACTGGAGGTTCCATCCCCTTGTGTTTTATATTCCAAGTATTTTTATGTGTGAGTTTTATTTCACAATCAAAAGTACACACACTAGCCTCTATGTTGGGAATGGATTGGACATGAGCAAGAGCGAACACGGAGCAAAATGTAGGTGAGAGATGACAGGGCGTGGGAAGTGGTGAGAGCGGAGATGGCGAGAAGGTTCAGCTAATGGGGGCTTGCTCGTGCATCTTTCCTCACTTGCTAATGGCTTGTTTCTTCTTGGGTTTTTTGACAGTTCATAAACCAGAAAAGGTTACGTGGGCAGAAGCGGCTGGAACCATTCGGGATGGACTACGAGCCTACACAGCTCTTCACTCCCTTTCTCATCTGGCTCCTGAGAAATCAGTGCTGATCATGGATGGAGCAAGCGTGGGTGTTGTTTTGTTTAGAAACTAACTGAAATACCTTAAACTTGGGATCTTTATAAATGGGCTTTCCATTTGCTAATGTAATTCCTTGTCAGCAGGGTTTATTGATTGATTTAAAAATCTTGTTATAATAAGCAGTTATTATCAATAGGAGATAAAATAAGATTTCACGTGATTAGTTTTCGACAATAAGTTTTCTTTAAATTTGCTAGTACATCTTAAATAGACAATCCATGTTTGTGCTTGCCTGTGACAAAACAAAACAAACAAACAAAAATCACTATGATTAAATCGACTCCAACTCGTAACAACCCAAACAGAGTAGAACTGCCCTTGTGGGTTCCAAGGCTCAGTCTTTATGGGAAAAGACAACTCTCTCCTCAGGGACAGCTGGTGTGCTCGAACTGTTCACTTTGTGGTTCACAGCCCAAGAAATAACCCACTATGCCACCAGAGCTCCTATGCCTGTGAAGGTCGACCACAGAGTTCATTCACAATTCTGTATGGTGTTCCTCACACATTAAATGTTAATAAAGTACCATGTTCCATAGGTTCATCACACACGATCCAGAAAGTACTGATTTAAATATATTACTTACGTATGGCATCGAAAAGTAGTTCAAGACACTAAGAGTACGTGAAAACACAATAGTTGTTTCACACATTAGAAACCTTGGGGTGAATGTATAGTTTACTTGGATCTGGCTGTGTGTGAGAGTGCTTTTTGTCTGGCAAAAAGGCAGGACTCTCCAGGTTGGCTTCAGCCCGATGTCCAACATTGGCATCGAGGGGCTTCCTGCAGCTTGCCCACGGGTCAGCAGAGGTCAGTGCTTTTGAAGCGCTCTCGTCTTCAAAGAGGTAGCTGGATTACCAGATACATTATATAATTAGTGTACAGCATCTTGCCGACAAGCCCGTTTTTCTCTTTCCAAGCTGTATTTCTGAATGAGCCCTCCAGCCTTGAGAATGTGTCCTGTGATTAGCCAGAGTGTGGCCTTGTGGCTCAGGCAACCTCTTCTGAAGAAAGTTAGCCAAACGTTTCCATGACTGGACTTGTCTGCAATTCTTCTTCTTTTCTATTGGATAGCATTTAAATTTATAGTGAAGTATACTGTGTTAAGTAATGTATAAAGTAAATCATGTATGGCCTCTGCTTTTTATCCATTAACCATCCCGTGGGGTTTTTTTTGCATGTTTTCTTTTTGTTCTCACAGGCTTTTGGGACAATAGCTATTCAGTTAGCACAGCACAGAGGAGCCAAGGTGATTTCAACAGTATGTGGCCTGGAAGACAAACAGTTCCTTGAAAGAATTAGGCCTACTATAGGTAAGTGCTATTACTTGATACAAGTTTTAAAACACAAAATTTTAAAGAATAATAAACTACACTTTAAAAATATTCCCAAATGAAAGTCACCTTTAAATGTCTTTTGTACCTGTGCTGAATCACTTAAAAGGACAGGCATTTGCTTACCGTATATACTCAAGTATAAGCCGACCTGAGTATCAGCCGAGGCACCTAATTTTACCACAAAAACTGCATTAAAAATGTGCTGAAAAGTCCCGACTTATACACGAGTATATACGCTAAGTGATGCCAAGCAAAATTCAAAACCTCACTGCCATCACGTCGATTCTGACCCATAGGAACCCACAGAGGGCGTCTGAGATTGTCCATCTTTATGGGAGCAAATAGCCTCATCTTTCCCCCAAGGAGCGACTGATGGGTTTACACCTTTCAGTTAGCCTATATCTTAAGTGATAGTTTCTAATTAATTATTTAAATCTTTTTAACCTACATTTGTCCATGTCTGAAGCATTGTTAAGTTTGATTAGGTGAACTTTGATACAGCTTAGAAATACTTAATGCCACTTTGGTTTTAGTCAATAAATCAATATATTATAGCATCACATTATATAGGTTGGTTTTTTTTATCATTTTATTGGGGACTTGTACAATTCTTATCACAATCCATACATACATCCATTGTGTTAAGCACATTTGTACATTTGTTGCCATCATCATTCTCAAAAACATTTGCTTTCTACTTGAGCACTTGGTATCAGCTCCTCATTTTTCCCCACCCCCCCTTCCCTCGCAAACCCTTGATAATTTATAAATTATTATTATTTTGTCATGTCTTACACTGTCCAACGTCTCCCTTCACCCACTTTTCTGTTGTCCGTCCCCCAGGGAGGGGGTTATATGTAGATCCTTGTAATTGGTTCCCCCTTTTCACCCCACCCTCCTTCCACCCTCCCGGTATCACCACTCTCACCACTGGTCCTGAGGGAATCATCTGTCCTGGATTCCCTGTGTTTTTAGTTCCTATCTGTACCAGTGTACATCCTCTGGTCTAGCTGGATTTGTAAGGTAATATTGGGATCATGATAGTGGGGGGGCGGGGGGGAGAAGCATTTAGGAACTAGAGGAAAGTTATATGTATCATCTTTGCTACACAGCACCCTGACTGGCTTATCTTCTCCCTGCGACCCTTCTGTAGGGTGATGTCCAGTTGCCTACAGATGGCCTTTTGGTCCCCACTCCACACTCCCCCTCATTCACAATGATATGATTTTTTGTTCTTTGATGCCTGATACCTGATCCCATTGACACCTTGTGATCACACAGGCTGGTATGCTCTTCCATGTGGGCTTTGTTGCTTCTGAGCTAGATGGCCACTTGTGTACCTTCAAGCCTTTTAAGACCCCAGATGCTATATCTTTTGGACCCTCCTCCCTTGCCCTTTGGACTACTTAGGTCACTGTTTAATGATACCTCTAATCTGAACAACTCTCTGGGGAATTATCTTCAACAAAAGTTGTTATCAATGCCAGTTCAAATTTTGAGGTTTTTTAAAAATTCTCACTAAATTATTCTAATTAACATAATGCTTTTAAGCAGCCAGTTAACAGTACTTTAAATATTACTAACTCTGCTAAAAATAACGATATTCTTTCTTCCTTCTCGGGAATTTTCTTCACTCGGATGAGTGAGTCTGTCTGTAGTGAAGTGGGAGGGATTTCTATTACTGAGAAAAACAGGGAGCCCTGGCTGCATAGTGATTTTCCAAAGAAAAGGCCAGCAATTTGAGCCCAGGTGAAGGCTGGGTGAGCTGCTGCTGTGAGGATAAACTCTAGGAGACCTGCTCTGTCCTATAAGGTCACTGTGGGCCAGAGTGGACAGGAGGGCACACAGCAGCAGCCGAGAAGGACAGTCATGGACTTTTTAGCTTACAGTGGTAGGTGCCCTAGCATGGATTCTGACGCATGGAAACACCATGTGTTGAGCATAAAACTTTATTCCATAGGGTTCTCATCGATTGATCTTTTGGAAGTAGATCAGCATTTCTTGTCAAGGTGCCTAAGTCTTCACCTCCAGCCTGTCAGTTAGCAGCTGAGCGAATTAGTCAAGTGCAACAGCCGAGTCTAACTTCATTAACTCTAAACGCACTTGCTCTTTATGTCTTGGTTTGCGTGCACTCATGACTTACGAGGAGTCCTGACGGCATGCTGGGTTACCCATTGAGCGGCTTCCTGGTCAGCAGTTAACAAGTTTAAAGCCTTCACTCACTCCATGAAGGAAGATGATGCTGTGTGCTCCTTAATGACGTCATTCTCAGAACCCCACGGGCAGTTCTACTCAGTCTTACTGGGTTCCTATGAGTTGTATTAAACTAGTCTACAGTCTACCATTTCAGGAGGTAGCATATGAGCAAGAATCAAAGGTGCTGAGGGAAGAAGTTCAAGCTGCACTGAAAGCATTAGCCAAAAGCAAGGCTCCAGGAGTTCATGGAATACCAATTGAAATGTCCAACAAGCTGATGAAGTCCTGGAAGCACTCATTTGTCTATACCAGAAAATTTGGAAGACAGCTACCTGGCCAAGTGACTGGCCAAGAGATCCATATTTGTATCTATTCCAAAGGATGGGGACCCACCAGAATGCTCAAATTATCGACCATCATTAATATCACATGCAAGTAAAATTTGCTGAAGATATCCAACAATAGTTGCAGCAGTACATTCACAGGGAGCTAGCTGCCAGAGGTTCAGGCCAGTTCAGAAGAGGATGTGAACAAAGGATATCATTATTGATGTCAGATGGATCCTGGCTGAAAGCAGAGAATACCAGAAATGTGTTTACTTGTTTTATTGACTATGCCAAGGCATTTGACTGGGTGGATCATAATCAACTATGGATAGCCTTGAGAAGGAGAATTCCGGAACTCTACATTGTGTTCAAACAGAACCTGTACATGAATCAAGAGGTAGTTATGGGAACAGAACAAGGGAATACTGTGTAGTTTAAAATTAGGAAAGATACATGTCAGGCTTGTATCCTTTCACCAGCTTGTGTGTGCTGAGCAAATCATCAGAGAAGCTTGATTTTTTTTTAATCATTTCATTGGGGGCTCTTACATCTCTTATCACAATCCATATATCCATCCATTATGTCAAGCACATTTGTACATTTGTTGCCATCATATTCCAAACGTTTCTTTCTACTTGAGCCCTTGGTATCAGCTCATTTTCCCCCTCCCCACCCATCATGAACCCTTGATAATTTATTTTTTTCTTGTCTTACACTGATTGCTGTCTCCTTTCACCCACTCTTCAGTTGTCCATCCCCCTGAGAGGGAGTTATATTGATCATTGTGATCGGTTCCCCCTCTCTCCCCCACACCTTCCCCTTGTTTCAACTTCTTAACCCAGAGGATAAATATATATTTGTTTTGCCTCTTTTTCCTTCATTTCTGTGTTGATCACATAAAGAACAGTATGTAACCTGGCTTCCTATCCCTTACAGCCCGAGTGATCGACATATCTAATGGGAAAGTCCACGTTGCTGAAAGCTGTTTGGAAGAGACAGGTGGCCTAGGAGTTGATATTGTCCTAGATGCTGGAGGTGAGTACAACCTGTATAATTTTTTTAGCTTGATAAATTAAAAAAAATTATAACTGGAAAATCATTATTCAGTTGAACGATTCATTGTTATGTATGTGCTCTCCCCCCACTCAGCCCCACACCCTCTACTTTGAAGCTTCTCGGTGGTCCCCATGTACACCGCCCCTGGAAGAGAGCGCATGCTCACCTTTAAAGTAGAGGATGAGCAGCAGAAGGCTCACATTCTCTAGAAAAGTGACTTTTGGGTGTTCTGTTCAAAGAAACACTGCTTTCAGTGAACATGAGGGTTGAGGTGATGACTGACAAGAAACCTGCAGGCCTGCCCTCCCTCCTCCACAGTCCCCAGAGGGCACCCAGTGGGTTACTCAGCCCTTGTGCCATGTGTGGCTGCCTCATTGGCTGAGGGGCATCTGCAGTCTCTGGAAAACACGCAGAAATGTATTCCATTTTCCCTTTCCTTCAACTTTTTCACTATACATAAAGCCTGCAAAAAGGTCTACAATTTATACTGCAACGCATATTTTCTTGTGGGAATTGGCCATTGTGCATATTTTCTTTGTTAGTGGAAGTAAACATTCATTTCATTGGCTTTCCTTATTTTTCCCAATAGACATTTCCATAATTGTGTCAAAGTAGAAGTGTCTCAAAAGAGCCTGGGTGCTGCAGAGGTTAAGCTGAAAGGCCGGTGGTTCGAACCTACCAGCTGCCCCTCTGGAGAAAGTTGTGGTTTCTGAAAAGATTTACAGTCTTGGAAACCCTCCTGTGGGGCAGCTCTACTATTACCTGTGGGGTTGCTGTGAGTCAGAATTAACAATCTCTGAGTTCCTTAAGCAGAAATCAGTTTTTCCCAGTGGAGCCATGTTATCAGTGTTATGATTAAATTATCAGACATCATTATGTGTTCTTATCTTGCCTGATTTTCAAATGAAAATAGACTTTATCTTTAGTTATTTCTCTTAAAATTAAGTCTTGTTTACATTTTATGACCAGTTTTAGTACAAAATGCGTTATTTTTAGGTACCTGAATAAACTGTTTTCTTTTTTTTTTTGGTGTGTGTGTAAGAGAGAGCTTTATATCAAAGAACAATTGTATGTTAAGAAAACATCCCAGTCCAGATCAAGTCCATAAGTCCAATATTAGCCCATGTGTCTAATACCAATCTCTAAATTCCTCTTCCCGATTCACGCAACACATGCAATGATGCTGAATGCAGGAAAATCACAGGCTAGTAGGTGGAAAGTCTTGTGGATCCAGTGGCAGTGGAAGCATCTCAGCACTGGCGTGGGTCTCCACGCGGCTCCTCCAACTCCAGGGCTCTGGCTGCCATCAGCGTAGCTCCATGTGGCTTGTCAGCAGAATGTGAAGCACAGAGTAGGTGGGTGGGTGCATCCTGCGTGCTTTTTTCTAGGGAAAACATTCCTGTATTAAAAGCAGAGAGAAGTTTTTTTATGAGTGTTATCATAAAATACATTTCTCCTCCCCCCCACCCCCCTTTTTGTTTTCTGGGACTACTCCCTTATAAGTGAGATTGTACAGTAAAGATGATGAGCCTGCTTTAAAACCGCAACTACTGCCGCATAAGCATGATATCATCGCACTTCTGGCTGTCGGAGGCCACTGGGTGACAAGAGAAGAAAGCCTTCAGGTACAGTCAGAATGAAAATATATGACAATTGCACCAGAGGAATGTAAGTAGCAAAGAAGAATGCCTGCATCTTCTTTGAGGCAAGAGGTGGTTAATAAAGTTTGAATTATACCTTATTTTGTAAACAAATGTTGACTTTTTACTTGAAGCCAGCCAAATGTTGAAAGACTGCCCAGTAGAGCAGCTCCTTCAAATGTAATGCGTACAGTGAATTTCATCTAGTGGTTGGGAAGGTGGTGATTTCTTAGTTTTCTAATAAGAATTTTTCTCTTACAAACAAGCATTGTTGGCATGTACTTAGCAAAATTTTTCCATATAGATTTACCACAGTTTCTTACTTATTTGAGCTAGAATAAACTAGATATGGCTATTTTGGTTATTCTCTCCAAATTAAATGTTTTCCTGTCAGGACTTATGTGCAGATGACATGATTTTCGTATACCAATAACCTTTATTGATTTTCCAATAACCTCACGTGGATGACTGCTCAGTGGCAGCCAGCAGTCTCTCGAGCACGAGCACCAGCACCCTTGCTCAGTTCCGCTGCACCACCTCCTCCTCAGCCCTGGCTGCCTGATTGGCTCTGCACCTGTCACTTTGCCAGGTCATCATTTTACACCAGGCAATAGAAAAGGAAACGTTGGAGCCTCTCTGGTGCGATTAAAGGCTGCGTGCTGAGTGTTTGTGTAGACGTTTTCCTGGCCGGAGCTACCAGTCACCCTTTTGCTGGCAGTGACTGATCAGTCTTTCTGCCTTCTGTCGAAGTTGGACCCTCCAGACAGCCACTGCCTTTTCCTCAAGGGAGCAACTGTGTCTTTCCTTAACGAAGAAGTGTGGAATCTGTCAAATGTACAACAGGGGAAATACCTTTATATCCTTTTTCCAGTGACTTGCGTTTCTAGTGTGAAATGTATGGTACTTTGTATTTTAATCCTCGGGTTTTACAATAATAGTAACAGCAGCTAATTTCCACAGTTTGCCAAACAATTTTCCAAGTGCTTTGTTGATATTAATTCATTTAAATATTAAAACAACCCTATAAGGTTTAAAAGTATCTTTATTTTACAGGTGGAGAAACTGAGGCATAATAAGACATGTTAAGACATGCTCACGGACACAGCCAGCAAGTGGTCTAACAGCAATCAGAGCCCAGCTGTCTGGCTCCTTTCTGAGTAGGAAAAGCCATTCTATGTCAGGAAGATTTGTCTTGCTTTGACCCCAGCATGATGGAAAGTACACGTGCCAGCTTGAACTGCTACACACTTTACCCTAAGACAGGGCCTCTGTAGGAAACATTTCCAAACACCTAGCTGAATTTAAAGGGTTTTTCGGTCACATTTACAAATACTCAACACCAGGAGATCTCCTTCAAAGAGGATGAAACCATATCCTTTAAAGCAGAAGTTAGTCAGAAAACGGCCTGGTGAATTAAGCCAAATCATACCAGTTTGGGGGGAAAGGGTGAAGAGTTTTCTTGGGAGAATCTGGAAGCAATTCCATGAGGAAAAGTCCAAAATTGTAGAGCGCAGTGAATGTTCGTGTCAAGCTTTAATTTCTGATCTGCCCATTTAAAAGCAGCTGCGCTTGGTGAAATCTTTCCCACGGGTAGGGCCTGTGTGTGCATGAAGAGCCTTGTCGCCCTCTGTCTGTCTCCACGATGTCGCGCTCATTCCCTTTGTATGTGTGCGGTTACACGCGTGACGGCTAAAGGCTAGCACCCTCGGAGCAGTGACACACTGAATCCAAAGCTCTGAAAGAGATCTCATTCAGAGGTTACATTTGTAAGTTTTAAGAAAGTTTCAAAATCAGAGCATCCCTTTAACGTGGTGATATATGAGCTTAACTTCTAAGTATTGAATTCAGAAAATGAATTCTTGAGCTCCCTAAAAGAATTCACTTCAGTTTTAAACAGTCTAAATATCCAAATTACCAAGATTACTGGGGGATATTAACAGTAGACAAGACCAAGAAAAAGTACTATACATTTTTGAACCTTACATGTCAAAAGCTAGGCTGACTACTTTTGTCTGTTACTCAGTTCTCTCAGCCTTCCCCTCATCCCTCCTCCCACCCTGAGAAAGCGATTTTGATCGATTTCATACATATGTGCACTGTTAAAACATGACGCTTACCTGAAATAATTTAAATTGTCCACCAAAGAAACAGTTCTTACATATGTGTGTGCACACACTGACTTTGCAGTTAGCGTTTAACTGCTCACTGCAAAGTCACAATCGAAAACCTACCGGCCCTCACCTGAGGGGCCGAGGAGAAAGTGGAGGCTGTCTGGTCTTGGGAAGATTTACAGCCTCAGCAACCGTACAGCGAGTCACAAAGAGTCAAATCAAACCGATGGCTGTGGGTTTACACACACATTCATACTGACGGTAACTGTATCAACAAGTGGAAAGAGAATGCGTAAGTTTTTCGATAAGTAATATTCTTTAGGGGTTTTTGTCTTTGTTTTTAAAGATAAAGGAGCCCTGGTGGGACAGTTGTGAAAGCTAACCTTTCCCCAGTTGCCAGCTGCTCTGAGGGAGAAAGCTGTGCCTGCCAAAGAGATGACAGCCTTGGAAACCTCTGGGGCAGTTCTACCTTGTCCTGTAGAGTCGCCCTGAGTCAGCTAGCAACTCAACAGCAACAGGTTTGATGTAGGTCTTCTTTTTTTTTTTTAATATTTTGAAACATTTTTTAGTTTATGTTTTCTAACGTCCTGGAGCATTGCAATCTTCATCATCACCTATGCAGACCCCACCATGAGATTACATGCTGTCAAGAATTCTCCAGCAAGATGGATCGACCCCATGGCCACGACCACGGACAGACTCCAGCATAGGCGGCGTCCCTGAGGACGGCGCAGGGCCGGGCAGTACGTAGGGTCACCATGGGTCACAACAGACTTGATGGGACACAGCAACAACAACAAAAACTACATACAGACTTGGTCCCAATATTAATCTATAACTCAGTGATTAGGGTACATTTTTTCTTAATTTTTACACTCCTTTCTGATTATCTTGGTGGCATATATGTACACACAGAAAAGTTTCTAAACTTTTCTTTCCTGCATCCAGATTTTGACCTGCTTATCAACCATTTTAGGAAACAAATGGGCACTAACATAAGAGACAGGTGAATCGGTACTAAAAGTGTGTGAGTAGTGCAAAAATAAATACCTGTGACCGCCCTCGCAGTGTCATGTGGGGTGAGAGCAGTCATTATTGAGAGACACTGTGTCACTTCTGCCACCATTTCTCTTTACAAGTGTAAGCGCTTTCGCACGAGCACCTCTCAAATCATCTCCGTGTCCCTGTTTTAGAGGTAAACGCGATAGTTTACAGACTCTCTGTAACTTCCCATTTTGAACTGTGGAGAGTTCCAAATAAATTTAAAAAAAAAACAAAATCAAGGTAGGTGACCTGCCTAGAAAGATGTACTGGTTTTATTTAATCCTCTTTGCGTTGCATTGCTGCCTTAACAGTCTTCCAGCTACGTATCTTAAAAGATGTGATGGAGAAGCTATCAACTGGTGTTTTTAGGTATGAGAAGTAGCCAAACTTTATTTTTCTGTTCTTGGAATAAAGGCAGGCATGTCCATTTCTCTTCAAACTTTTACACCTTCTATATTTATTTTGTTTAGACAAATAGCTTTTTAATATTCCTCCGAGTGTCTCTTGTGGTCTGTCAACATTTCTAAAGATGGAACTGTCCCATGAGCTTTCCCTACTCCATCCCATCTTTGCTTTCCCTCCCTGCTCTTCCCAAAGTAACCTGAGAAGAGAGACATAGGTGGTTGTTGTTTTTAAGTTGGATCTGCTTATCACATACAAGGAGGGAACAGTGAAAAGTAGGCCTTCGCTTCAAAACTTAGCCTCTTTTTAAAAATAGTATTGGCACATTTGTTTTAAGTTAATTGATATTTGAGCTAGAGAAGTTGTCAATTACCATGTTCTAATCATCTGTAACTAGACCTGACATTTCTAATTTAATTCTTCCATAGACCTCAGTTGGATGAACCCATTCCACTGTATGAAGCCAAAGTTTCCATGGAAGTTGTTCAAAAAAATCAAGAAAGAAAAAAACAAGTTGTTCAGTTTTGATTCTTCCTCAGACCTCAGTTGGATGAACAGTACTTGAAGCCCAAGTTTCCTTGGAAAAAAAGAGAAGATAAAAACAAGTTGTTTGTAAACAGGTTCTCCTGCTAAGGCAAGATGCTCAGATATTTTGAAAAGTAGATTACTGTGCAAATGGTCAAGATAATTCTATTACATCTGAAGGGGATACTCTGAAAACCTTTTTCTCTCTACATTTTTCCTCTGCTGTAAAATGCTAACCTGAAGAAAACCTGCTTTCAGCCAAAGCCACACTGCTCTATCGCTAGCTGTTATGTGCAGCTTGTTGCTGTCAAAACGTTATTTTGTATCAATTCCATTCTGAACATCATCCTTCCTTAACAAATCTTCGCTGTCGTAATTTAGTCATTTGAGTCTGTTTTCAAGCCCGGTGGGCACTTGCTCGGTTTTGAAATATCTGCTCGAGGGTACCCAGGGCCCAAGCACGAGGACTGCTGGCTCTCCGGAGCGGGCGAGGGGTCCGGAAGGGGAAGGAGTTGGGGCGCACAGGGTTTCAAGACGCCCGTTTCCGATCGAGTGCTCTCTGCGCGGCCGTGGGGACGGGGAGGCCCTCTGGACACGTCTCAGAGCCCCCGAACGCGGGCGGGCCGCTTCTCTGCCCCGACTAGGGGGCCCGGGACAGCGACGGCCAGACTGGGACTGGGGCCTGGGCGCCGAGCCGGAGAAGGGCTCCGGAGTGGGAGGTGCCGGCGGCGTACGACGCGCGGGGGGGGGGAGCGGCGTGCTACGGCGCATGCTTGGCGCGGCTGTGCGTCAGGAGCGGAGCCTCCGGCCGGCGCACGGCGCATGCCCAAGCGGACCTTATCGGGGGAGAGGGGCGTGGCTGGTGCGCGCGCGGGAACTGAGGCCGGTCGGCCTCCCTCCTCGCCGTCCACCGCGCGCTATGGCGCTCTCGGTACCCGGCTACTCGCCCAGCTTCAAGAAGCCGCCCGAGACGCTGCGGCTCCGCCG